ATCACGGGCATAGATTAATATCCCTCCCCCTCTGGTAGTTTCTCTTGATATTATAAAGGAGTTAAATCCTGTTATTTGATATAACGATAGCTCTTCTTTTCTAATATTTACTTCGCTTAATATTAATATATCTGTCCTGTATTTATGTTCTTCCAATAAAACTAGTAATTCATTAAAATGTTTCCGAAGTGACCTGATATTCAGATGAAGAAATTGAATATTATTTATATTTTGTGTGAAATCATTACTCAGATCTGAAATATCATTATATCTTTTATATATAATGTCTGAAAAAAATATATACGTTTGGGTGAACGTTGGTGTTAAATGCACTTAGTGTGTATTCGCCGCTCCGCGCGTACTATGAGCGCATCGCATTTATTTATTAGTTATAATCTTCGAATTTATTTAGGTCGTCTTCCGATTTTATGTTGTAGATCTTCTTTTCTTCGCTGCTCTTTTTTACTAGGATGTTGTTCTTTTGGACCCAAATATATTGATAGCCTTTTGGTTTTAGTTTATTTCTGACGGCCCATAGAAGTTGGCGCTTGTATTTAGGCAAATCCTCATTAATAAATACGGGGTTTTCGCTGCCATTGCCATAAATTTTATTATTTGTTAATTTATATTGTTTTTTGGCTAACATCCAGCTATTACGGGCGTTTTTAGATCGCAGTTTAACCATGACGGTTTTAATCTTTTTATCACTAACTTTTTTTTGACCTACCCTCTGTGCTTCTTCGATATCATCCGGATTTAAGTTTAGCTTACAAGCTATTTCTTTAATTACAGACGTAATATTCTCGTCCTTGTGCATTTCCAGCCCGTGAATTTCTAAATTTTTCTCTCTTTCTTTAATCTCCAGCTCCTGCACCCGTTCTTCCAACGCTTTATTTCACTTCGCTAAGTAGATATTTTTCTGTTCTAATGACTTGATTCGTTTTTGCGATTCTTCCTTGAATGTTATTAAGGTTTGATACATTTCGGCGTAAAATTCTACTTTAGTAGAAAGGTCTTCAATTTTTTTCTCCATATTGTAAATAACTTCTAACTTTTTGTTCACTTCAGCTAATACCTTCTCACCGGATAGTTCACTAGGGTTTATCGATAGTTTTGGGTCCTGTGCTGGCTGCAAAGGGCTGGTTTTTCGACACTCATCGCAGAATGACGTATGCAGAAATTGTTTATTGGATTGCACGCATTTCTTGTGAAAAACCACCTCACATACACCTTTACACTTTACTTTAACATTTTAAATTTTTTGAACTGTATCATTTTGCTTCGCAGTACGTTTCCGCAGTATACTTTGTTTAAATGCACACGACCGTACGCTGAGCGCACGCGCCCGGATGTGCTATAAAGGCTATGTTTCCATTTTCTCTTTCTGCTTCCAGTTTTGGTTGTAACTGTTTGCGTATTTCAAGGACTCCCTTAGGAAAGTCTTCTTTGACATATACATTTGTGGGAAGGTTACGCTTGTTTTTCAAAATAAGATGTTTCTTCCAAGTTGTTATAGGAGATATTATCACCGGACGATTTTTATCAGATTGTACTCCAATTCTTCTGATGTAAATTATTTCTTGACTATCTAAATGCATTCCTGATTCTGTAATTATTTCCTTTACATAATCGACTAACTCTAATTCTGCTTTTCCCTCTGCTTCGATGCCAAAAAGAATTAAATTATTCCTGCGTTTTTCCTTTTCTAAGAATGATATTTTTTGTTCCAAATTAGTGACTTTAATTTTAAGGCTGTTATTTTCTTCTCTCAGCATTTTCATAACATTTTTCGTTATTTCTGTCGTTAATGTTATTGTTTGTTCATTAAACTTTTCATTTATTTTAGAGAGAATGATTTCCATTTGTTTGTCCATTTTGATGTTGGGTAATTTAATGTTGTAAAGTGGTAAAACACTTTTTTTTGTTCGTTTGTTTGGTTTTAAATTTAAACGTCTTGGTGTGTATTCAACTTTGAGGTTATAATGATCACTAGACCACAGGATGAAAATCACACTTAAATATAGTAGTTCCACTTTGAATTTTTGCTTGAACACCACTTGAGTTCGATTTCCTGAAAACCCGAATATACTTTATGTTCGTTTTTCACTTTTGCACTCGTAATTTAAAAATATCTGCAGAGCTCACTTTTGTACGTGTTTACACTTTCGTAGCCGGAATCGGAAATCCATTGATATCGCATACATAATTCAAAATCGCACACTTCCAAAAATTGATTAACAGTGTCGGTTCATTAACTTTTATCGTACTCTAGTAGTTAGTAAGTACCTAGATAAATACAGCAAGTAACGTACCTAGACAAATTTAATTTAATTAACGTAGATTAATTCCATCACAAGAAGAACATAATATACACAATTCACATCACAAGAAACAGACTGTCTTCCGTGGCCGTGGGACACGGTAGATAGCTCAGTTGGTTAGAACATCGACATGGATTTCAAACTCCACCCGGTGTCAGTTGATTTTTCGAATTTCTCATTAAATGTTTAGACATTTATTAATTTGGTTGGTCTTTGCTATGGCTATGTTAATTCAAGCTCAAAATGTACCTACTCTGTTAAGTTGTTCTAAGATCTTAAGTAACGTTTAATAAATAGCAATAGGCTTAATAGGTGATTGCGAGACTAGCGAAACTCTTGCTGCAATACCAAGACCAAGACCAAGACTGGGGGTGCAATGCCAAGACCAAGACCAAGACTGGCTAAGTCTTGTCTTGTTCTTGCGTTTGGACAACACTAGCTGTCACGCTGCTCTAGAGCACATATTGGAACTTTTCGTGTCTTCGAAACAATTTTTATGCATAGAACGAATTAAAACATTTATATATTGAAAATGATAATTTACTTTCTTTCATGTATTTACAATTAAAAGACATAGTTTTAGTAGAATAAATGCTTTTAACACATTTCTTGCAACCAATTCGATTAATTTGTTGTGACTACTATGAGTTAGAAATATACCCTAAAAAAGGAGTAAACCTAAAAAATATATTCATTCATGATAGGTATTAAGATAATTGTTAAATTTTATAGCAAATGAATGTAGTTCTTAAGCTTAGTTGAGTAGAGCTTAATTTGAGTGTATTCCATTTTAATGCGTTATCTAATTCATTCTATAGGTTATTTTATTGAATAAATTGGTTGATACTTGACTCTCTAGGGGACAGTATTATTTGAATTAGACGCTAGTTGGCCTAAACGCCAACGGTTTGATAAAAATCGGTAAGCCGTATATAACGATAATTTACTCATTATCGATAGTTTTATTTATTTCATAAATGTATGATTTATATTTAACTGTTTATTTGAATAATTAAAAACTAAATTTTTTTATATATTTTTTTAATTTTTTTAAAAATAATATTAACAATGCTATAAATATTACTAATATTCCCCTTAACCACTCGTGGTAAGCTAAATTTACATGTGTTACGAGTGGTTCACGCCAGTAGTCGAATGGCGGATTCGAACCCACGACCTTTTTGAGTTTGCGGTTCGCGCCATGCCATTAGGCTACTGTCGCTTAACTTTTTAAAATTATTTATCTTTAGAGCACCCCAGTGAAACTTGTATTCCCGGAAGTACGTTAGTCGGCAGGTATAACGCGAGACCTTGCGCGACTGACGGAGCCGTAGTACGGGCAAAATAAGGCGAGTGGGACGTGTTTGCGTGTACACTAGTGGCATCATGGTAGTAGATAGCTACCTATTACCATGAAATTAATGTTGTAATTAAAAATTGAGCAAAAGGATATCAATTATGCCGTTCTAGAGACATGTGTTACACATAATACATCTAAACATGAAACAAATTATATTTAGAATCAATTATTTTTGCACTTGCGGCGTAACAGGCAAATAAACTGACAGGTAATCTACATAATGATTTCTTATGTTTACGCGAACACACATTTAAATAATTTATAGTTTTAAAATGATTACATCGCGTATATTAACTTATTTTATATTCCCGACGTTTCGAGCACGTTACAGCACCCATGGTCACGAGGGGGAATATCGATGTCTCAATGTATTAGTTAACCACGGCTACGTTCACATTAAAATTATTAATTTTTGTTTCTATGTAGTATAATAGATCGGAACAAAAATTGTGACGATCAATTGTTGACTCTGAAGTTTGAAGTCTTAAAAGTACGTCGAAATCGTTGACGTTGGCGGCATATATATAGAGTTGTACAGACGGAGAGCTGGTGCAGAATTAATGGGCGACATAAAGGGTATATTCCAAAATAGAACCCAGTGTACTGTCCAATGAAAATGACGTCATAAATCGACGCTATACTGGTGATTCGTTCCAAAACATAGGACAGTATATGATGTTATACATTTGCGCCATATTGAAAAAGTGTTGGCGATTATTTTGTCATTTTGTGCTCCAAGAATCATTATATCCTCCTAATGGAGATACCAGCAATTATTCTATAATTTTTCGTATGTGAATAAATAAAAACAAATTCTGGCATGCTTCATTCAGCGCACACACAATTAAAAATTGTTTTATTATGGCCGGATATCAGACACAATATGGCGGCGGCACGCCAGTACAATATAGTGTCAATTGATGACGTCATTTGTATTCGGCAGTATACTGAAAACGTTTCGGAACATACCCGAGATTTCAGCACGGGCTCAGTTCGTGTTCGCGCGCGTCTCAACACAACCCATCCGCACTGGCGCTCCGAGCACGCTGCGCGCGCTCTTGTGTTCGTTCGAAAAACCGACAAATCACGGATCGCTCCGCGCGCGTTTTGAAATGCCCGTAGCGTGCACGTGAAATGCACAGTTCGTCCAGACTACGAAAATTTGATGCAAAGTGTATTACATTGCATGATACATTGCACTTAAGTGGACGGCAAAAGCATTTCATGTTACGTAGCGTAGGTAAGTACGCGGCATAATACAACTGTTTACATAAAGGTTGTATAATCAGATCAGAACGTAAATCTATTCTACAACTCACCTCGGGCAACTCATCTTCTGTTAGGCCTTCCCATTTGATATTTGCTAAAACATTTTCCGAAATTCTAACCGCTTCGTACCATGCTAAATTTCCTTGCACCAACACCTATAAGGATTTCCAAAAAAATATGTTCAAATTCAATTTAAAATAACTATGCCTAAATTGTATGAAATAGGTATGTTAGAGGGAATGTGCTAATCTTTTTTTCCGAATGCCAGACTCACGTGCACAACATGGTCATGGAAAACCTGTGCACACTTGAAAAGCCTTAGTTAAGTCCAGTTGTGGACTTTTAAGGACTGTATGTGACGTTATGCCTAAACATCAGATGACGATTGTGCATTATAGCTAGACAATATTGTGCCGAAGCAAATATTAACACATACATTATTAAGAAATTATTGCGATGAGATTCTTGCGGGTTCTTTCCAGGCCAAAAAGTCTCTTACTACTTAAAACTTACTTAAAAAAAAAAACATTTAATAAAAATTATCTAATTGTCTAATTATCGAATTGGATAATTTTTATTCTGACAAAATGATGTTTAAAATACAATAATAAATTGTCTCATATGACTGACCTTATCATAAAACATTACAGTTGTATAATATTTAATATTTTTTGTAACGAAACTTACTTGCAAGTACAATTTACTAAGCAGGAGTTCGTTAAAATTTTTCAATTCATCAATTGTGATGTTGTGTATGACAGACGCTTTATCGCGCGGAGATATGTAAGGATCCAGCAAGACTTGCATTCGTATATCTCTGCAAAAAACATCTTTATAACATACTTATATATAATACTAGTAATAACCATGTTAATTAACTACTTCTAATATTAAACATACAACAATGTAAATACAATATGTGAAGCTTATCATTTTGTCTCTGCAAGTGTTTGCTTCGGCTAACCGCACATTTTGTCTTGTTTAAAATTATTCTTAGGACATATAATTAATTTTTATGGGCTCCTTCAAAGGAAAGAAGAATATGAAATGAATAGAATATGTATGTTCAGTGTAATAATGTATTGGTTAATGAAAAATAAATATGTTTTTATTATTAAAAATTAAATTACAAATTATGATTACATAACAACTGGAATATTTATTTACTTATTGTAATAATTTTTTGTACTTTTCCTGCGGATATTTGACATAGTTAGCAGCGTTTAAAAGGCAGTTTGGCAACTGTTACAATTTTTCTTTTTCATTGTAAAATATACAAAAAAGTTTTTTTTTATATATAGAATAAGGGTGACAAACGAGCACAGTCCACCTGATGGTAAGTGGATGCTGTAGCCTATAGACATCTACATTTATCCTCGATTAAGAATAAAAACGCAGATGCGTTGTCACCCCTGAGGTATGATGATGATGATGAGGAATGTAAGATGGAATGCCTCGTTTTCAATAAAAAAGGGTCTCCGGATCTCTACACTCACCATATGAAACACAACAGTATTAAGTTGCTATTTTACGCTGATATTCTGTGCAATAGGCCGGACTCCTGCGAATAGCCGGCAACCGATTGGGTTAGATCTCGAGTGGCAGCAAGGTATCAGGAAGTACTATATACAATAGGGTGATGGTATTATACGAAACTTTCACTAAGGAGCGATAACCTTGCAAAACATAAGTTGATCAGGTGACAATCTTTTTTTTTTTTGACAGACATGAGCAAACCTATATTTGTGATTAATTATGATGTTAATAATGATAATACAATAAAAAGAAACATTGATAAAGTAATTCCTCTTACTTAGAGAGCTTGTGCGGTTTGATGAGCATGTTGTGGTAGTTTCTAGCTCGCACTTCACGCACGGCCTCAAACATCTGGCCAGTCAGAGAGTCCGTACACGTTCGCATCTCACGGGTTATCAGCTCCACCAGAAGCTGTGGAAATAAAGATCGTTTTAGAGCTTTCAGTTTTCGGCAATAACTATACCTAATAGCAATGGCGACGAAGATAGATTCTCATACTAGTTTCATGGTTGTGGGCTCACGATATATATCGTAAAAATAACCTCTAAAATATCAGATGTAAAATAGACAAACCAGTGATGTGAATGTGAAGCCAGGTGTTTGAGTTTGTAAACATCTGATATGAAAACTCTTTTTAGAAACACATACGACAAATTAATACAAATAATAACAGTAAAATAAAAAACAGCAGTTCTTTTCGCAGAAAGGTTGTGTGGAAGAAATGGCTTCCAGCGCGGTAAAACGTGATAGAGCCATAATGCAGCTATATAGCTGCAGTAGCCTGTACCAGTACAGTATAGGCTCTACCAGTACAGGTACTGGTAGAGGCTATACTGGTACTCTATCGGTTCGACCGGATAAGGAACACGCTCTCACAGAATACCAGCGTGAAATAGCAGCCTAATGCTACTGTTTCATGTGGTGAGTATAGAGAACCGGAGACCCTTTTTATTGGAAAAGTATTCTACCTTAGTCCCCAAGGTTGATCTGCATTTTGATTATTTAAAACGGGCCACAGCATCCACTTACCATCAGGTGGACTGTGTGCTCGTTTGTCATCTAAATCTATAAAAAAAGACCGCCTATTGTACCTGCTATATAATTTATTTCATTTTGTTTTCATTTTAGTGTGTATTGGTGTACAACGAATAATATATTGATTATAGTCAACCAAATCTAAGAAATACATTTTGACAGCTGTCAGACATATTGCGCCAAGCATGCCAACAAAAAAAAACCCGGAACGTACAATATTCGATTCTTAAAAAAATCGAGTTAATCGATTTATTTTGAATAATACCAAAATAAATTAAAAATGGATAATTTGAAACACAAGATTTATCAGTTTATTTGTATTTGTTGTTACTGATTATTTCTAGTGGCAAAGTTATAAAAATTTAGGATTAAAACTAGATAAAAAATAAATTTATTCAATCACTTTCAGTTCAGTTTCAACTAGTTGAGCCGTCATTGTTTGGATTAATTATTATTTGATTTTTAATAATGCAGTCAAAATTAATGTCTCTTTCAAAGACGTCAATAATCAATTTTTTTGTTTTTTTTCTACCACTTTTACCCAATCATCAGTACAGTAAAAGTTAAAGCCGAGTCACAAAATAAGAAGACAAACACAAAATCACAAAATTCCGCACAGTAAGCTACCGAAATGGTGGGAGATTGAAATTACGTAGTGTTTTTTTCAGCGCGGCCTTGTAAATGAGTTTTTTTGCATACAAAAATTTACTTTGACAAAGTAAAAAAATAATTTATTTTATTCATTATTCATGTAATTTAAGGAATTTTAAAAATATTTTTTTATTAAACAAATAATACATTAAAAAAATTAATGGTTCGATTATTTGAATAGTTTTACCGATTATTTGAATATTTTTGTCAATTATTCGCTTAACAACGAATTTTAATCATCTAAACACTACGGTAAGATACATAGTGACATATCATTGAAACGACGTCAAGTAAAAAAGTTGATACTGGTTATTTTTTAAATATTTTGCTTTGTTTGAAAGATTTAAATTTAAATTAGTGATAAAAAACTACACACGTTGCAATGAATTATAGATAACTTCATATTCTTCGGATTTACGTAAAAGGTTATTTTAAATCGTGTGAGTACGCTTGTGCAAAGTTATTGCGGAATGACTAATGTGAAACGTCAAAAGGCATTTCTTAGATTTGGTTGACTATAATATTGGTAAATTGTTTGTTTGGTATATAATTCCGCACGGAAAAAGTATTTGTCCGGTCTACGAAAACTAATCCACGTGTGAATGTTGACTACTGAATGTAATATATATGTATATATTATAGCCTCATCTTATAAAATCCAAAATTATTTAAGATGAGACTATCGAAAACTTTGAAAAGGTCTATTACAGGAATGCTAAATAAACAATAAATACTTATATATAAAAGCTATAAACACATTAAGTACTTTTATATTCAATCCTAAATTATTTGTATATATACAAAGAAGTTAATGTTCTATTATTTAATTAAATAAAAGATTAATACTCACATGCAAATTTTGATTGTACCCGTTGACTTTTAAAGTAAGTCCTTTATCCGATACGTAAAGCGAATGCGACAAGTCCGCCATATTGGCTGGATACACTTCTTCCTGAAATAGACAACATTAGAACTCAGTTGATTTATATAAAATATAATTAATCAGCAGATTGTGTTTATACGGGTCTATTAGTTTGACTGCCTTGTTGGCCTAGTGTTCGTCAGCTCGACCGCTGATCATGTGATCTAAAATAAGTTTCGCTGTGACTGAAATTCAGTCTGCTTTTTATTATAAAAATAACAACTAATTTTGATATTCTTTTATCTAAAAGAGTGCAGTTGGTGCTCAATTTTAGCCCTGGCAAAATAAATTAAATATTTATTTATAAAGAAAATTCATCAACAGCTGTAATATTTGAGTACATTACAAAATTCAAAAGTATACATCATAGAACGTACGACTACTACGTAGAAAGACAACTTAAGAGGATGCCGATCTCGACCTAGGTTAGAAATTCTTTACAAATTAAAGTTATTGCTCGTACAATACACTAATGGTTACAAGATGCTGTTAGGGTTGCATCACGGTTCCAGGACATCAGATGTGTTTTGAGGCTAGCACGGGCAGTTTTGAGGCAATAGTTCGGAAGCGTGTGGTCTCCTTGATTTGTCGCGTGCGAGACAGTACCATCGACCTCCAATACACCTATACTAGGAGCTGGCTTTGATTGCCCGGTTGTAAGGCTTTAGAACACATATTTGGCAACTATGGCAAATATCCCCCTAAGAAGCAATCTATGGGAGGTCTATGTTCAGCAACTGCCTTTTATAGATTTCTTTATTAAAATTTTTCAATCCTTCCCGCAAGCGTAAAAAAGATATTATAAAATAAAAGCTACTATACTTACTATACACACAAATAAATATATGAAATATAATTTTGTGATCAAAGTAGTTTTTTTAATAAAACTTATTTATTATCTGTCAACTTTTAGTTTTTATACACTATAAACACTTTAACCGAAACTTTTATAGTTATAGTCCGGACGCGAAGAAGGAAGAATTTCGTACTTAAATTTTTTATTACCTGTCTCTGTCACTCCCGCGTAAATAAAAGCGTCTCGATCGCACAGATGCAATGACCGCCGTCCTCAGGGATTGTAAACCTTTTACCTGAGACTGTAAGTTTTGTTCTTGTTTGCATGTGTTTTTGTTGGTCTTGAGGCACGACCAAAAATCCTTGGCTTGCTTGACATAGTTAATAATTTTTAAATAACGAATAAACTACATTCCATCTTGGAATGCGTTAGTGATTGCTCAGTTTTCGGAAACAGTTATCTATTCTTAGTTTGTTGTTGTTTGTCAGTTTTTGTTATCTTGTTTTAATTGTTAAGTGGTTTTGGTTTTGTTAATTTGTTAAGTTTAATGTAGACAAAACTGTTGATTCTTTTATAATAAATGTGACAGGCGGGACATCATCTGAAAGCAGTAACTCTGATATAGAGAAATCAGATTCTGATTTTTGAACTTTCATTTTTTATTTCTGCCAAATTAGCAATTTTAACACGATTTTATAACTGTTTTTATACTAAAATCAAAAAATATATATAATACCAATTATTTATTTAATAGGATAGTAAATTTATTTTTTATCCTTCAAATATTTCATATACACCACACTTAACACAAAAATGTTTGTGACCACTGTGTCAGTAGGCAAAAAGGTCATTGTACGAAATTCTTCCTGCTGCGCGACTGGACTTTAGTAAATGAATTATAATATGCATTTAAGTTACCTTTAGTCCCTGCTGTAAGACATCTGTCCAAAGATCTAGGAGACATGATCTGTAAAAGCATAATTCTTAAAAATCACAAATTATATTCGATTGATTATTTATTTAATATCAAATTTATTTATATCGATGCTCATCGGCACTTACTCTCTAGGTGTCTTGAGACTGAGCGGTGTGATGAAGTAGAAATACAGAAGTGCGGTTGGAAATCGGAACTTAAAGTCGGGCTTGTACCACAGTTCCATGTGACGGTTCTTACGGAGAAGATTGGGTTGGTCTAACCTGTTAAATCAATTGACATGTTCATAAAATGGTTTATTTTTCATGCTCTCTTTGCGCCTTCCACCCTCTTCCCATTAGACGGACTGAGATTAGACTAGCAGCAAATTGATATATCCACCATTCAATCTCTAAAAAACCGCTAAGTTAATATTCAGTCGATTTATAGATGCCGGTCGTTCAGTAATCGAAATTCGACCGTAACTCATTAAATTGTTAAGTTTCTGTAATAAGTAAGTTGTGTTTCGCTTCCAAATGTATGTATATCATTTATGTTTTTAACTGTACATTAATATATAAACTCAGATATATTATAAAAACTATATAAAATAAAGGTCTTTTTTTGTCTTGACATACACATCACAGACTTTTAACCTCTCAAACGGCAAGCGTCCAAATTTGACCGCTTCGATATTCCGTCAAAATTCAAGAAGTCAAATGTAACCGCACTCACCCACAGCACTTTAACTCATAAATACTTATGTTTAGAGACTTTTCTATGAAGAAGTTAGGCATTATAGAATCAATATGAAATTTTCTGTCCTCTAGTGGAATAAAAATCAATCTATGGATATTTATTTATAATTTACGTTCATTTCGTACGCCATTTTCGTGTGAATGTTATTGTGTTGATTTTTTGAAGTATATAGTGTTTTATTATAAAATTGTATTGTTTTTATTGAGAAAAGTGGGTACTTGCACTTGTCACGTCAACATAGGCTCCGTAAATTATAAGTTTTAAAAAATATTAAATGTAAACAATTTTTGTTATTTCTTAGATAAGTGAGTTCATAATCATGTAACTAAAGACTACAAACTTTATCCAGTTGAAGTGTTAAGTGTGAACATTGTTAATGTAAATTTTGTATGGAACTAACGTTGAAGTGTTTAATAACAAAAGAAATATAAAAATGTGTGATAAAGTGAACGAAAACTGTTTTTTATTAAAAAAACTAAGTGGATAATATAAGAATTTGCAGGAAAGTAACCATTAATTGAGCTTATAATTTCAAAAATATAAAAGACCGTTACATAGTTCATTCAAAAAATATTTAATTATTATTTCTTTAGTGGACAAAACAAACAATCACTGTAACTAAAGAACGATTATTCTTTTATACTAACTCAAATTTCAAGATACTTGGGTGTTTATTATAGTATTATGATAATTATTGAAAATAAAAAAAATTAAAAAAAAATAGTTCCATCTTATGGCAAATGTTAAAACTACGCTTATGTTTATTCGATTATCACAAACGTTATCAGCCGTTTGGCCAACAGAGGACGCTTATTTATAGAGTGGCATTAAAGTAATATGTACAAATTATATTAATCTTGAAAGATAAAACCAGAAATACGCAAAATGAATGTATGTTTTAAATGTAAAATTGTTATATCAGACAAACAATACTTAACCTGTTCTAGCTGTAAGGAGCATTTCCATTTGGATTGTACAAATGTTTCAAATAAAAGATTTTATTTAATGACGGTTGATACTAAAAATAAGTGGAAATGTAAAGAATGTTATGAAGAAAGAACAACACGTACACCATCAAATAACATAACAATCAGAAATAAATATCGGATTAATATACCTGTGAAGAATTCTTTCGACTCTCTGTCATCGGACGAGCAAGAGCCCGAGTATTCGTCACTACTAGAAACGTGTGAATTAAATAGAAGTTGCATAGAAATAGGTTCTGTTAACCCGGAAAAGATAGAAGAATTAGAGAAGAAAATAGGTTATCTTACAGAGAAATTAGAAATAGCAGAAAATGAAATTGAGAATATTTTATCAGAAAATTTTACCCTAAAAAATAAAATTTCGGAATATGAATTAAAAATTAATAAACTAAACCAATTATGCAAGCCCACTCCTCACCTAAAAAATTTAATTCCAAAGAGCTCCACATGTAAAAAAAAGAAGAATATAAATAAAAGTAAATTGGATTTCTCTTTAATTGAAACGAAAAGCCCTACTAAACAACAAGAACAATGTAAATATCAAACAACGCCATCTAGTAAAGACAATAGCAATCTTTATAGAGAAAATTCACTACCAAGATTTAATGAATTAGTAATGTGTAATAATTCTCGTAGTGATACGTCAGATACAAACAAAAAAGAAGGTACTAAAAATTTGCAGCGAAGTCAATCTATATACATAATAGGTGATGAGCAATTGCTGGGCCTATCGGCAGCTTTAATTAAAACAAGACTTGGAAAATGGAATGATAAATACAATCCCTCGGCATATATAATGAGCAACGCAACTAGTAGTGAAATTCTACACTATTGTACTAATATGGTTAATAATTTATCCGATAATGATATTGTTGTATTGGGTGTAGGGGGTAATGATAAAAATCCTGAATTATTACATTTTAATTTTTGTTCCATTCTCAACATTTTGAAGAAAGTCACTGTTTATATTATGCCCGTTAATTATAATCCATATCTTAATGTATATAAATTAAATAATAAATTTTATTTATGGTCTAAATATTTAAAAAATTGTACTTTTATATATATGAAATATTGTAATGTAAATATGAAATTCTATTTAAATTATATTTGCAAAAAAATCAACTTTAATATAGATATAAATGAATATAATCTACAGTTTCTTACATTTAAAAATACAATGCGACACATAAAACTATTACAAAAAAACGCTAATGATGCACAGAAAATATCACAACGTGAATTGCCTAAGAAAAAAGGCACTATTCCTTATTATTTCAAGGCAGCAAACGTAACACATATTGACAAGACAACACATACATTGCAATCGAGCTTAATATGCTCTAATAATATGAAGGCCGCTAAAAAAAGGAACTATACCCTATTATTTTCCCAATAAGAATAAAACTACATCGACGCCCACGCTAAATAATGCAACTTTTTTTCGTTCCTAAGTCTGCCAACGGCTTTAATATATTGCATCAAAATATTCAAGGTCTGTTGTCTAAAAAGGAAATAATCGAAATTACACTTTCAGAGCTTAAGGATCAAATAAATCCAGATGTCCTTTGTTTTACGGAAACTTTTGTAAAATCTGGAGAAGAAAAGAATATGATAATTAAAAACTATGAAATAGCGTCGTATTTTTCACGGAACAAAAAACGAGGTGGATCTTGTATTATGGTTAAAAGAGGAATGCCTTTTAAAAAAGATTTTGATGACTTGGCTGTCTCGTTCCATTTTGAATGTTGTTCTGTGTTAATCCCCCATAGCAATATATTAATTATATGTTTATATCGAACACCGACTAAAATAAAACGACATTGTGATTGTTTTTTTCAAAAACTTGAATTGTTGTTGTATAAATGTAATTATAAATATTCAAAAAAAAAGATTGTAATAGCCGGAGATATAAACATTAATACACTAGTAAATGATAATGTTACGACTACATTTACAGATATTATTAAAACATTTAATTTTCATCTGCATATTACAAGACCTACTAGAGGACAGTCCTGTATTGATCACGTTATTAGTAACATACCAAATGCCACTGCGAAAATTCTTCCACTTTCGTTATCGGATCACGAAACTGCTCAAATGTTAAGGTTTACAGTAAGCAAAAAGAAGGTCCTACCAAAAATTGTTTTCTCTTTCAAAAGAAGTTATTCTCAAGAAAACATTAACAAGTTTCAGTCTTATTTAGAAAGTTTATCGTTTTCTGAAGTGTTTTTGGAAACTGACCTAGATCTAGCTTTCAATAAATTTTATGAACTGTTTCAACTGTTTTATAAACTTTGCTTTCCGTTAATAAAAATTAAATCTAACATTAGACCACATATAAAATGGATATCAAAAGGTATTAAAAAAAGTTGTTCTACGAAAAAAATATTACGTTACAAATATTACATTAATAAAACAAATCAGAATAAAGTTGCATATAACAATTACACAAGGCTTCTAAGAAGATGCATCAATTACGCAAAAAAACATAGTAATAATAAGTTTATACTCAATAGTAAAAATATTGTAAAATCAACTTGGAAAATTATTAAGAATGAACTAGGGCATATAGCAGCAGATAAACACATTGACTTAATTAAACACAATAACTTTATAATAACTAAACCTATGAAAATAGCTGAAGCCTTTAATAATTACTATATTAATTTGACAAATAAAATAAATAATAAAATTATATACAGTAATACAAAAAATAGACTTCAAAATTCAATTTATTTAACACCGGTCGATGAATATGATATAAGTAAAATTATAATGACATTAAATAATACAAATTCAGAAGGTTATGATGGCATATGTACAAATGTTATCAAAGCGTGCAAAAATCAAATTAGTAAAGTATTAGCCTATTTAGTTAATTTATCAATGGAATCTGGCATCTTTCCAGAAAAATTAAAAACGTCTATTGTAAAACCATTATATAAAAAAAAATAAAAAACACTAATGGAAAATTACCGTCCAGTGACATTGGTACCTATATTATCAAAAATTTTTGAAAAGGTCATGCACAAGAAGGTCATGACTTTCCTAAATAAGTTTAATAGAATAAATCCAACTCAGTATGGATTTCAAAAATCAAAATCCACGACACTGGCCGCTTTTAATTTAATAAAAAATATTTTACAAAATACTAATGACGGACTATTTACTACGGCCATCTTCTTTGACATGTCAAAAGCTTTTGACTTCGTATCACACGATCAGCTTTTGTTCAAATTAGATCAAAACGGAATTAGAGGCCAAGCATATCACTGGATTAAGTCATTCATACAAAACAGGCATCAATGTGTTGAGGTGCTAAAACTTGACAATAGACATGTAAGTCAAAGTTATAGATCCAAATTTAGAAAAAATGCGTTTGGGGTACCTCAGGGTAGTGTACTAGGTCCACTTTTATTTTTGATATATTTAAACGACTTACCTGAAATTACTAAATATAGAAGTATTTTATTCGCAGATGACGTCGCAGTAATAGTCACAACAAATAAAAATATGTCACTAACAAAACATAATTTTGACATTAATCAAACAATATTTGACGTAACTAAATGGCTAAGTAATAATAATTTAACAATAAACTTAAGTAAAACTCAATATATAAATTTCAATAATATAAATAATAATTTAATAAATATTAATTATAATGGACAAACTCTTTGTAGTGCAACTAATATGACATTCCTAGGTATAATTATTGACAAAGAATTAAAGTGGAAAGAACAAGTTTGTAAAATATGTAATAAAATAAACAGGTTCACATATGCGCTTTATAGACTAACAAAAGTGGCAACAAAACAAACTGCAATTATGACTTATTTTGCATATATTGAGTCGATTATCCGCTACGGAATTATAATTTGGGGCAACAGTGCAGAGATTAATAAAGTTTTTATTGCACAAAAAAAATGTGTTCGTGCCATTCATGGTGTGGGCCCAGATGTTTCATGTCGACCTCTATTTAAGACACTGGGAATCTTACCCGTGCCTTGTTTGTATATATTAGAAGTTGCTAAATTTGTAAAACAACACGGGAAAAGTTTTTATAAACTTAACAAAGAAGTGGTATCCATGAACACGAGATACCCAGATCGGATAGTAATTAGCGAAATACCGAAAAGTAAACGCTTTAGTAAAAATTGTTACTGGATGGGTAAAACAATATATAATAAAATACCGAACATAATCAAAGATCTTCCTATAAAAACATTTCAAAAAAAATTATACCAGTGGCTTCTTCAAAAAACATTTTACTCCGTAAACGAGCTTTTAAATTACTGATGAAAACTTTTATAGGACTATAGCTCATAATTGACATTTTTTGTTATTAACTGACATGGTATATAATATTGTTTAATTTAATTTACTTTATTTGTTAATTAATTTTTTTTTTAGTTGTACTTTTGATATTTTAGAATATAATTGGATGGATTGTTTGTTGTTGCTAATTTAATGATTGAATAATGATTGATTTTGATGTGTTAATTTTGTATAAATATAATTTCTAAGAATAAATAAATTTGCATGTCTCCATTAGAGACTTAGTGTGTATGCATAGTATTTAACAGTATATCATGTAACATACATACTAAGAAGCAAATAAATAAATAAATAAATAAATAAATAAATGTTTTTGTGTGATTATAATTTATCTTTTTACGTAAATAAATTTGAGTAATATATGTAGAAATAATTGTGATTTTCAGCTCATTATTTTGTTGGCAACATTTAAAAAAAATTTTGCGCTAATCTTTGCTTGCTTTTCGCTAAGTCGAGTCGACCCATTCGACTACGTTAATTCATCATCACAGTTGCGGTAACTATTGCTATTAACACAAATACATACACATCTTCGTCATCAATTTCCCAATCAGCTATTACAAGGGTATATTTAGAGCCATGAAGCAATCTGGGATAAGGAATTCTTATGAACCACTATCACAGATCATCGCAAGTCCTCTACTGAAACTAGGCCTCCTTACAGAATACTACAAAGTCAACTACAAAGTCTTTACCCAGCTGCAGCATCGACTGTGTGTTTCACATAAACAAAATAAAGTAATATCTGTGTGCGACCAAAAAGATACTCAAAACAGAAGTGACTGGCGGCAAAGCTATGGTGAGCATAATGTCCGGCGATTAATGAGCCTGTTTCCGTTCCCTACAGTATACAATTAGTATTAGTAGTTAATTTGTTAATTGTTAATTTTTCTTTTTTATTGATTTTATTATGTTATGTCTTCCTCATCGATTGTCAATCTTTCAAGCTTTATGCCCGGGTCATTGCCACTTTAGCTTACTGATCCGCTAGACTGAAGTTATACTTGTTCTTCTGTAGGTATCTACATTGCGGATTTTATTTCACAGAGAAATTCCTTGTACCCTATCCATCTCACTCTGAGAAACTTTAACAGTGAAGACCCATGTTTTGGTTCCGCAAGTCATCACCGGCAATACGCACGGATAGACAAATAAACGCCATTAAAGAATTTATAGTAAGTAAAAACTTACCTAAAATTATTAACAGTAGCGATCAAATCCTCATGCTTCAATACTTTCTTGACCTTTGGTGAAGTGGTAACTTTCCTATGTATATCCTTAACTGAGCTATTCTTTAGATCAATTCCTAAGGCATCAGCTGATTCGACGTAGGCTTGCTCCGGTGCAATAATGTCGAAGTTCGTAGTGAGGTAGATATTTTTACTGGGTAAGTGGAAGTTTGTGTATGGTTCTACATTCAGCCAACGCTGCAGCCAACTTTGTGGTATATCTAGAAAGAAAGGGAAAAACAGTAAATCATAAGCAATGAATAATATGGTGATGTACCTCGCAGCATGATGGTGGCCTGAAAGAATTATATTGTCTTGTTGTTACATTACTATCATGATCATTACAGCCTTCCATAAGTTCACTGCTGAACATAAGCCTCCCCCAAGGAATGACACAAAGCACGGTCCTGAGGTAACTGCACCTATCGACTTCCCGCATGATTTATCAAGTCACCACTCTATTTAGTGGGTAGCCGCCATATACTTCGCTTACAGCTACGAGGCAGCCACGCAGGAACCTTTCTTCCTTTTGTTTGTTTGTTTGTTTATCTTCACGCACAATCCCTAACGGGGTAGCCAGAGAGAACAGATCGCCAAGTGTCACGATCCTTACATACCTCTTTCGCTTCTTTCAGGTTCATTAACTTCTTCATACATGCACGTCTAGGTATCAGAGTACTCTTGACCCTCCCCTCTTCGAGCAATTTGCTCACATGGTCTTTGAAAGTTAGTCTCGGTCTACCTCGACACCTTTTAATATTTACTTTCGCTCTATATATTTTCTTCACCATTCGGTCTTCACTCATTCGTTCAACGTGCCCAAACCATTGGAGTACGCCCCTATCAATTTTTGTGATAAGGTCATCTTTCAATCCTGCCATATTGCGAATCTCTTCGTTTCGCTTTCGGTCGGCTATGGTAACGCCACACATTTTACGAAGAGATCGCATCTCCACTGCATTCAACTTGCTTTTATGCTTCTTCTGGCATACCCAGGTTTCGCTGCCATATAACAAAGTCGGTACCAACACTGCGTTATGTATTGCAAGGCGTGCACTCTTCACCACGCCTTGCCTTTTTACTAATGCATTCAGGGCACCATTGACTTTGTTTCCGGCAGCGACACGCCTATCCACATCTAAATCACATCTTCCATCGCGGCTGAAAGCACTCCCCAAGTATACAATTTCATTTACCTGTTCTAGACATTCCTGATTAACCCATATTTCACATTTCGTTCTCTCTTTGTCCTTTTCAAATACCAGAACCTTAGTTTTATTAGCATTCAAACGGAGACCTTTAATTTCACATTCCTCTTTCATACACGTGACTAATGCCTGCAGTTCTGCTTCTGATGGTGCAATAAGCACTGCATCATCAGCATACAGCAGACAATTAACTTTTATGTCACCCAATTTCACACCTAAACAGCTATTTTTCAGCTTCTGTAAACAGCTGTCGAGATACAGTATGAACAGCCAGGAAGACATGACACAACCCTGTTTTACGCCCGCTTGGACGCTAAACATGGGTGACAGGTCATGCCCTACCCGCACACAGGCTTTACAGTCATAGTAAAGTGACTGCACAGCCATTAACAATCGACCATCCACACCATATCGCGGCAACAGTTCCCACATTTTCTTCCTTATAACCTTATCAAATGCTTTCTCCAGATCCACAAAAGCACAGAAAATCCTCTGGCTAACACTCAGAAGCTTCTCCGTGATCATGCGGAGAGAAAACATTTGATCCGTGCATCCTCTTCCAGGTCTAAATCCGCATTGTGCCTCCCATAAGAATCTTTTCGATTTCTCTTGCATCCTACGTGTCAAAACCTTCGAGTAAACTTTACTTGCTAAACTGGTCAAGCTGATCGCCCGATAGCACCCGCAGTCAAAATGTGAACCTTTACCTTTATATAAAGGCACAATGACCGCGGATCGCCAATCATCCGGGACATCTCCCGTCCGCCAGCACAAATTGCACAGCAGATGGAAGCTGTCCCAGACGCGAGGCCCACCGTACTTGACCATTTCAGCAGTAACTCTGTCTAGTCCCGCAGCCTTACCACATTTCAAACTTTGAATCGCACGTTCAATCTCTTTCATGCTGATGACCTCAGTGTCTTCGAGGTCCGTGTCTGGCTTGCCAGTCACGGTGTCACCCCGGATCCTTCACTAAGATCATGACACGCATACATTTCTCTATAAAATTCACTCCATCGCTGCATGACGTCCGATTTTTTCTGAGAGGACGTCATTGGTTCTCGAAAGCACTTTGTTCATTTTTAAGGTTTTGCACCACTCCGGGATCTTCCAACCTCTTTCCAGAAGAGTTTGGAGTTTTCCCTAAAGTTGTGCGACAACCTCTCGTCCGCTTTTATTCTACACCTTTCACGTACTTCCTCAATCAATGTTTTCGCATGAACTTTCTGCAGCTTATATCTTTCTTTCATCTTCTCTCTCATATGCTCATCGTTACTAGAGGACCTTTCTTCCTTAATTTAAAATATTTAATTTTCTTTTCTTAATTTAAAATTTTAATTATTCAATATTAATTTAAAGCGACAGTAGCCTAATGGCAGGGCGCGGACCGCGAACTCAAAAAGGTCGTGGATTCGAATCCGCCATTTGACTACTGGCGTGAACCACTCGTAACACAAGCAATTTAAGCTTACCACGAGTCGTTAAGGGGAATATTAGTAATGTTTATAGCATTATTAATATTATTCATAAAAAGAAAAAGAAAAAAAAAGAAAAAAATGGTTGTCGGTTTTTTGTGCTTTATGACCGGTCAAGTGAAGAAATTTACATATATAATTTACTTACCTTGTCTTTTATATTCTGTGCCGAACCACTTCTCCTTGGCGTCGTACTGTATGGGCGTCGTGTGTTTATTGGACAGTATCATTATGTTAACGGTATCGGCACGCATGCAGTCTAGCAGCTCCGATATACCCTATTAAAAGCACGTTAAATATTAATCCCAGATATAAGTTATATTTAACAAAATAACAAACTACAGACAACAAAATGAAACTGAACGCAATCATCACGAGAGTCACACAATCGTACTTCTAGAACAGCATTAAGATCGTGAGACGTCTGGTACGAATCGCGGCACGTAACTCTAGCGCTGAACGAAATGAGGAGGGGATAGCTGCGAATGTCGTATCAGTACAAGGGACGGAATGCGACTGGAGAGCGCAATCAGCGCTTCCGAACGATACGCACAGCCAATCATACGCAATAATGTACTATATGACCAATTATGCGCAATAACGGTCACCGCTAGACTTTCCTACCGCGAGTTGTACTCGTCAATCTACCTGCCAAGCCTGCCTATAGTGCCCCGCAGCTTGGCGGCAGAAATAAGCAAGAGCCTCAGACCAACAAAGAAAGATAGACAGAACACTACTTACATTTTAGGTGCATTCGATGTATGAGCGCGAGTTCTCTTACAATAAGTTGAGCTAAAAGCGTGGGATTTGATTGCAATCACTAAAAGACGCAACAACGATCACCAAAATAGAGATAAAGATACCATATAATCAGAATAGGTTGTGTTTACTGTACACAAATAATATAAAAAAATTAATTTATACTGCAACATTTGATTTGCATACGTTTTAGGTGCATTAATGTGTTAATGTTTCAGCATGACATGTAAATATACTTGGTGTTTTATCTATCCTTTTTTATTGGTCTCAAGATGGAACATAGTTCTTTGTTAGATGACGTTCTGGTTCCTGGGCAAAAACCTTACGACCTTCTTATATTTATAACTTGTAGTTAAAAAATAAAAACTATATACAATAACATACATACCAACCTTAGGATCATATTTATAGTAAAGCCTATCGCCTGTAATGTAGTGCTCTGGCGGAAAGAAGTGCATGTTTTCAGCGAGAGACTCCACGTAGTCAGCGGGCTGCGATTCTTCCTCGAAGCGAAAACTTGTCTCTTCTATGGTCTATTAAGAGAAAATGGACAAATTAGGAATGTTAATATTGAATTTTTTGACAATTTTTACGTGGTAGAGCCATGCTGCAGCTTTATAGTGGTTGCGGGTCGGCTCGACCGGGGTAGGACCACGCTCTCAAAGAATACCAGCGTAAAATAGCACCTTAATACTGCTGTGTTTCGTATGGTGAGTGTAAAGAACGGGAGACCCATTATACTGGAAACGAGGCATTCATTTTGATTCTTGAAAACGCATCTGCATTTTGATTCTTAATTGAAGATAAATGTAGATGTCTATGGTCCACAGCATCCACTTACCATCAGATGGGCATGTGCTCGTTTGTCACTCTTATTCTATAAAAAAAAAACAATATATTTTTGGGTGCCGTTTATGTTTTAAAGATTGTATGAAATGAAGTCGTTATTCCGAGTATATCTATGTATTCGCTTAAAACCTTGAAATTATTTTATAGATTTTAATGAGGTCTTCATTAACAGTTAAAAGAATTTAAATTCTAATTGCGTTATGCGTTTCAAGTAGAGTCGTGAAAAGATAGTACCATATTGGTTAATCTCACTTTTTTTTCTGCATTTTCGATTTTTGATTTTTTCTTTTTGGCGCACCCATTTTTTTTCCGCTCATTGCAATCAAGACGCATCTCTCTAGCGTGGCACACGACTAAGGCTCGCCCGTTGTCGTAGGATAAAAAAATCTATATACACGAGCGCGAAAAAGCTTACAAAATTCGACACTGAGATGAGTCGTGATAATCTTCGTGTCTCTTTCACTGCATCAGTAATCACAATCAATAAAATGCATAAAGAAAAGTTTTATTATTTTTATATATACCCTTCGGGCTGGAACACAGCAGTGCAATTAATTAATGTTAAATTATAAATCCAACTTCAGACGTCAAGGAAATTGTTAAAAATCCACTCAAAATACTAAAATCTACAAATGGGGAGTAACATTACTAGAAAAAGGCGACGGTTCTATACTCAGCAACCTAAGAAATGCCTGTAACTTGTTTTATCTTTGGAATAGACAAAATCCAGAAGTGGAATTTTTGCTAAAGATATTTTATCATTACTAACATTACCTTGATCTCGTTATATATCTGCTCCGACGGTCCGATTTTCTTCAGCATGTTGATATACGAGAATATTGCTTCTAAAACCTGAAAGAATATCTCTCATTTACATTTTCAAAATAAAGTTATCATTATCTATAAATTTCCATAAAAATGTTATTCATTTTTAATTTCTCTATCCAGATTGAGGGTTACGAACGAGCACGTAATTCACGTGATGGAAAGTGGATACTGTGGCCAAATATAAAAACCTAAGGTTTTTTACAAGTAATGCCACAAAGCACGGTCCTGAGCCACCTGCGTCCATCGACTTCCTGCATATCTTACCAGGTCGTCACTCCATCTAGGGGGGGGGTTGCCCTACACTACGCCTACCGGTACGAGGCTGCCACTCGAGAACCTTTCTTTCCCATCGGTTATCGGTTCTTCGAGCTATATGGCCGGCCCATTGCCACTTCAGCTTACTAATCCGTTGGGCTATATCGGTCACTCTGGTTTTACTGCGGATATCCTCATTTCTGAGTCTATCACGCAGAGAAACTCCGAGCATAGCCCTCTCCATAGCTCGCTGAGCGACCTTGAGCGTCCTCATACGGCCAGCAGTGAAGGACCACGTCTCAGATCCGTAAGTCATCACTGGCAACACGCACTGCTTGTACAATCTAGTTTTTAGAGATTGAGGTATACCTGACGAGAAGATATGTCGTAATTTCCCGAACGCTGCCCAGCCGAGTTGAATCCGTCGATTGACCTCTCGGTCGAAGTTGGGCTTACCTAGTCGGACTATTTGTCCCAGGTAAACGTACTCGTCAACAACTTCAAGCATGGTGCTCCCAACAACTACCGGCATAGGTGTGACATGGGCATTAAACATGATCTTTGTTTTGTCCATGTTCATCTTAAAATCTATCCGTTGGGAGGCACTATTGAGGTCATTGAGCATAGTGCTTAAGTCCTCCAGCGATTCTGCCATAAGGACTATATCGTCGGCAAATCGAAGGTGAGTGATGTACTCGCCATTGATGTTAATACCGTATCCTTTCCAGTCCAGTAGCTTGAAAACGTCTTCCAATGCAGCGGTGAAGAGTTTCGGGGATATAACATCACCCTGTCTTACACCTCTCTGCAGTTGGATAGGTTTCGAGCTCTGGTTCTGTACTCGGATAGCCATCGTAGTCCTACTGTACAAACACTTCAGCACTTAGATATACCGACAGTCAACATAGCACCGCTGAAGGGACTGTAACACCGCCCAAATTTCGACGGAATCAAAGGCTTTCTCATAGTCCACATACACCAGGCAAAGTGGCAGATTGTACTCTTCAGTCTTCTGTACAATCTGCCGCAGGGTACGTATGTGGTCTATGGTACTGAAGCCTTTTCGGAAACCGGCTTGTTCGGGAGGCTGGAAGAAATGTCTGAATTATTTTGAATTTATGTCAGACGTAAAATGTCCAGACTGGTGATAGACAGCTACGTCATAGGTGCAAGCCAATATATTTCCCTAGTGTCGATTAAGCGAAATTCTCTTCACTGCGGGATTCCATCTGTATTTAAATTTTAATGTATTTAAATTTTTAATTAACATCAAACCATCAGGGGGTCTGTGTGCCCATTTGCTCCGCTCCCCTTACTGAAAAATTCACTTTAAGGGTGTTCGCAAATTGTGAACCATGTCCTCAAATATTTATAAGTATATAACATTTAATAAGTATATAATATATAAATATTTAATATTTAAAACAAAGCGAATATAATCACTATTTAAGTTTCTCAATCAATATAGGTCTTTTCATTATATTTTCCTATACCGTTGTAATTTTTTTTCTATATTTTACTTATTAGTACCTAGCTGGTCTGACAAGTATTATGCTCTTAACGTTAAGTGGCGCGATGAGTATGAACTAATTAATAATTCGACCACAGCACCGCTTATCCGATCTTAGAATAACTATAACCCATTGTCTCAACAAAACAAAATATATTGTATGAATATGACCTTAAGGTGATGAAGGTTATTGATCAGTTAACTCTCTCAGAAGTTACACAATAACTAACAAACACAGCAACGATTATAAAATATAGTAGCTGTCCAGGAATTCCAAGAGATGATTTTGCTATTCTGTTAATATAATTTATTAATTACTCAACTACAGCGCTTTCTTTCGTATCCTAGCATATAAAACAAAAATTTATTATGTGAGGTAATGGAAACACTTTCAAGTTATGCAACATGCCAGTTGGCGTATATCTATGAACAAAGGTATGTATAAGTCAAATTATTCAATCACTCACTCACACGCATACACGCATACATGAACGAACTATGCCACGTATGCGCGCACACACGTACGGACACGTGCCCAGATAATGCGCTTGTCCATTCACAAAGTACAGGCGTGCTCAATGTCAGTTTAATTTACAATGAATATTTAATAATATGTTAAAATACCAAAACCACCAATAAAGAATCCTCATTCAGTCAAGCCGTCCAGAAGTTACTCAATTACTAATGGACGCACAAACGATTCCATATATAAAGACAAAGATACCATACATTTAGTACAGATAGTCGTTTTAATGGCACTTTTGCAGAACTACTCTCGCAAAATTACTCGCGGATCGATTGTTTATACGAGCGTATGCACTTATCACATGTTGATATATATTGAGCTGCAGGTCGATAGTTGTTCGACTGTTTAATAAGCCATCAATGGAAGTAACTTTTTGATTTATTTGTAGAGTAACTATCTAGTTGATAATATGGAAACCTCCATACATTCCCATAAGCTTTATGCATACAACTAAACTGTTGTTCGATTAAAAATTGAACTTATGCAACTGCATTGTTGGGGGGGAGGGGATAGAGGCGTCCATTAACTACGTGAGGTGTTAAGGTCGAGCCGAATCTCAACTAATCTCACGTGGGGGAGATAAAGGGTCTCTGCAAAATCACGTAATTTTTTCACATAATTTCCGGAAGAAACAGTGTAAAATTTCGAGGAAATTGGGTTAAATTAAGTAAAATATGGCTAAATCTTACAAATATTTATCGCGTTCATGCGAACTCTAGAAATTAATTTTTTAAACGAACTAAACCCAATCAAGTGCAGATTAACGTATTTACAGAGGTGGAGGAAGGGGGGGAGGGGTTGAGCCATATCTCACGACATTTCACCAGAGGGAAGGGAGGGTAGATTAATCGCCAATATCGCATCCCGTAATTATTAGTCTATTGAGGTGCTGGATCGCCAACTTCCATACTGCAATGGTCAATCCTGTCAAACGTGACGCTTAAGGCAAATCCATCCTAACAGGAGAAGCTAATGTCCACCAGCGTAATTTTACGAATTGATGATGAAGAAGACCTAGACCTTATTTAATTTCACTAGCATCGAATCGCCCCTAAAAATGAAGATTAACCCTCTCTATAATGGAAGAAGCCCATGCCCAGTAGTCAACTTTAACTACCTGATAAAGAATATGAAGAAGAATAATAAACTTACATCATCAATGTGATCGAGTCCGTCTTTCGTGAGAACCACCTGCGTTGAGAATAAGCTGTACATGGACGTGTAGTCGATACCGCTCTCTGAGTTGCCGGTGTAGATGCCGAGTGCCCACACTCTAGAATTATAATAAGTATTTAATTATAAAACGGCAGTGACAAACACCAGTTACAGTCCACCTGATAGTAAGTGGCTTCAGCAGTCCATGCTACAATAGGTTGTCACTTCTTGGGACCACCTTCCTCACAGCCTATAACTATACTAATACCATAGAATACTATAATACACAATAGAATGGCTGTCAACTTTAGTTCTTACTAGAAACGGTGTCGCCGAGAGCACACATACAAGCGGTTACGTCGTATGATCACCACTAGAAACTCAATTCGCTCATTATACACACCTGATTGACTTTAAATTTAGTATAGTTACTCATTTCGCAATGTAGAAACTCACTATGAACGGATTTTACGATAGTCCCACCACAAAAATTGTTTTGATATTTTACATCTAGGCTCCGCAATAAAATATTAACGTGTGTCCAGCGAAGCGAGCGGGTATCAGCTACTACGAGTAAGTATATAATTGTATTAAATGCCAAAACTTTAATACCAGGTTGATGATAAGAAACAGAAGAGGATATCACTTCTGTGTTTAGTAACTCGCCAACCCAGCGTGGTGAGTAATGGAAATACTTTCAAGTTATGCAACATGCCAGTTTGCGTATATCTATGTACAAACGTATGTATAAGTCAAATTACTCAATCACTCACTCACACGCATACATCGATTGAATAGAGCGTATGCATTCACATGATATATATTGAGCGCAGGTGATAGTTGTTCGACTTATAAGCCATATGGAATAACTTTTTGATTTATTTTAAGTACTATTGTTGATAATATGGATCCATACTTCCCATAAGCTTTATGCATACAACTAAACTATTGTTCGATTAAAAATTGACTTGAGTAATGTGTGTGTTCGTAAACATAATGCGCTTATCCATTCACAACGTACAGGCGTGCTCAATGTCAATTTAATTTACAATGAATTTTTCTAATACTATGTTAAACTACCAAAACCACCAATAAAGAAGACAGTGTACAAATTCAATATAGTCTTACGTTAGTTAATTAGTGTACTACTAAATTAAAACCACCTGCCAGGCTTGGCTACTATGACAAATATTCCCCTAAATAGCAATTTATGAGCAATGCCAATGTACGGTTGTGTTCTTTTGATATGTTTTAACGTTAACGGTAAACTAAACATACTTCTTCCGTAGATATGAAAGTAAGCTGCCTTTGCCTTCGTGTCCCAACAAATAGGAGATGTATTGGTGAGGTTTCGACTCATACTCTGACAGTAGCGACCGCATACACCACGTTAGATGGACCTGAAAAATTAATAATATTGAAACTATTGAATAAAACTACTTATACGGATTTTACCGCGTTTAATTAACTTATTTTTAATTCCCGACGTTTCAAATGCTTTACAGCACCCATGGTCATCCGAAACGTCGGGGTCAATTAAACATGATAAAATCCGTACAGTTTTATTCAATGAATGGTGTTCACGTAAATTTAATTGTACCTTCAGCTTTTTAATTATTGTTTATAAACAATAATTAAAAAGCTGAAGGTACTCCGGGTACACTGACATCGGGACGTCAGTCACCTCAGTCCCACGTGACCATGGGTGCTGGAACCGAAATGTCGGGAATTAAAAATCATTTAAAATTAAACGCGATAAAATCCGTAAAAGTAGTTTTAATCAATGTATAGTGTTAGCGTAAATATAAGAAATCATAATTATCATTAGCTTATATTGATTAATTTATAACATATCAGGATATAGTATAGGATTAAATTAATGCTTTAGAGCTATTATGATGTAGAAAAATAAGCAAACATAATATTAATGGCACTTTACCATCAAGTTTTTGACAAAATGGTCAGAGAAAACTACCTACAAAGAAGATTCTTTTGAATCTATACAACTTACCTCAGTGGTATCGCTGATGGGTTTCACGTAGTAAATACTTCGGAACTCTGGCGTTACTGCGTCAGGTCTGAAAGCGTGCTCAGTGAAGTTATCCGGTGGCTGTTTGTTATTCGGAACTTGTCCGAATGTGTTGATAACATACTGCTCCAAAGCAGCTAGGTCCATACGAGCCTGAGAACCAAAAAAAAAGATCGAACTAAAATGAGATATTTTTTACTTGATCATAAATACTTATGCAGGCTCATATTGGTTTGCTCCCTTAAAAGCTAATGATAGTGGAGGTCGTGCAGTGGCGATCGTATAGAAATTCATCATCCCATTTCGTACTTTGGGTCGTCCTAACAGGCGACCATAGAATACTATAAGGCTTTTTCCTGTCATGCTGACCGCACGCTGACGGTCGGCGCTGATGGGTTAATATGTATGTAGTTATATGTAGCGTTTTTGAGTCGCGCAGATCCCTCAGCGCTGACGGCCGTCAGCGTTGAGCTATACGCGGGCGTGCGCGTCACGCGTCGCAGAACAACAGGCGCCGACGCGCCTCCACACTCAGTGGGCGTTTTCGTGTCGCGCTGAACGCACGTACCGACAAATACAATCATGGGCAATCGTGATATAGACACCGGTCGAGTAATTGACGAAGTGTGATCAAGAAAATGTTTATGGGACGCTTCGGACCCATTATATCAAAATAAAGATGCGCGTAACAAAGCCTGGGATGGCATCGTCGTCGCACTTTTCGCAAACGTTTCATCAGAAGAAATACAACGTAAGCTGCAATAGACCAATCTATTTTGGAGCTTTGCTAGGAAATTCGTCAAAACTTCTTGATGACATACGGAAATAGTTGAAAAACTTGTCTTCGTCCTCTCTCAACTAGCCGTATAATATAACGAATTCCCCTGCAGAGATTCTCTGCTCGATTAATGGATTAACGTGTAGTTTTTTCTTTGTCAGACGTTTTTTCTTTGCTAAATAGTACACGGCAACAGTTTTCACTAACATCGACATTATTTGCGTCTGTACTTCACGGTGATCAGCGCGATACTAAAACGATCCGAGCTGATCGATCAGTGCTGACAAGCTACGCGCCGACCGTCAGCGCCGGCGGTAAGCATGAGAGGAAAACCAGCCTAATACATATACACAATAGAACGGGGGAGTGGGCGGAACCCGTGTAGCCACTAATATGTTAATTCACACCTATAAATGTCAACACAATCAATCGTTTCTAATTTTCGCGTCGAGTGTCGCTGCATGCAAATTATTTCAAAAATGGCAAATTGTGCAATAATTACGCGTCGAAAGCACAGCGGAAAATGGAATTTAAATAAAGGAGACATATATCTTACAACAAGTAAGTCGAAACTATTTATATTTTGTGAATATTAGAAACAAAAATAAAGAAATATTAATGTGTAAAAAACATTAATGAAAAGTCTAAAATGTCTAAATTCGCTCAGTCTGTCAATACAGCAAATCGGGTTTGTAGTAGTGACAATACGACGTAATTGCTTGTATGTGTGCTCCCGGCCCCACCGATCCCCGTACAAAATAAGGTTGACAGCCATTCTATTGTATATTATAGTATTCTATAGAGGCGACTATGGAATATGTCAAAAAGTCTTACAGTTTCCGATAGATGGCAGTATAACCATATATTTAGCCTAGATATAAAATATGTGATGCGACTGGTATTGAGATCGTCAATCTGTCTTTCAAGCGTAACGATTAAGGCAAATCCTCCCTATAATGAGAATAAATCTAAAATTGTTATATGTATGTAGCAAATAAATCTAAACACTTATTTGCTACATACATATAACAGCGTTCTAATACGCGTTTTTTGCTTGTGTATACTTACAACCTTGATTAGGTTAATGTATGACAAAAGCCCCTTTTTAACCTTTAAGTACCGACGTGCGATCTAAGAGGTCCCAGCAAGCATTTGACTCGCTAGTTTATCCCATTTCCCGTGCAATACCCCGCTTTTAATTAGCTGCAAACACAGTGCCTACGTTGACGTCGGAGCAGAAACACTAACGTAAGTACCGACGCGTTCTCTAATACCGCACGTCGGTACTTACGCGTTTGTTTTATTATTTGTTAAGGTAAACTGTTATTTTTACAGATATTGTGAATTATGAATATAATAGGGACTTCAAGTATTAAAAGAAATAGTTCTGCGATATATTACAGCAAACAAAGAGATATGTATAAATAAATCGAATCTAAATTATAAGTGAGTGATTGAGAAGACGTTTTCAAGCTACTGGACTGGAAAGGATACGGTATTAACATCAATAGCGAGTACATCACTGACCTTCGATATAGTCCTTATGGCAGAATCGCTGGAGTACCTTAGCACTATGCTGAATGACCTCAATGGTGTCCCCAACGGATAGGTCTTAAGATGAACATGGACAAAACAAAGATCATGTTTAATGTCCATGTCATACCTATGCCGGTAGTTGTTGGGAGCACTATGCTCGAAGTTGTTGCGTACTGTTGTTGTTGTTTAGCTGGGACAAATAGTCCGACTAGGTAAGTTCAACTTCGACCGCGAGGTCAATCGACGGATTCAACTCGGATGGGCAGCGTTCGGGAAATTACGACACATCTTCTCGTCAGGTATACCTTAATCTCTGAAAACTAAAGTGTATAACCAGTGCGTGTTGCCAGTGATGACTTACGGATCTGAGACGTGGTCCTTCACTGTTGGCCGTATGAGGACGCTCGAGGTTGCTCAGCGAGCTATGGAGAGGACTATGCTCGGAGTTTCTCTGCGTGATAGACTCAGAAATGAGGATATCCGCTGTAAAACCAGAGTGACCGACATAGCCCAACGGATTAGTAAGCTGAAGTGGCAATGGGCCGGCCATATAGCTCGAAGAACCGATAACCGATGGGGAAGAAAGGTTCTCGAGTGGCAGCCTCGTACCGGTAGGCGTAGTGTAGGGCGATCCCCCACTAGATGGAGTGACGACCTGGTAAGACATGCAGGAAGTCGATGGATGCAGGTGGCTCAGGACCGTGCTTTGTGGCATTACTTAGGGGAGGCTTATGTTCAGCAGGGGACTTGCGAAGGGCTGTAATGATGATGATGATGATGATGATGATGATGATGATTGAGAGCTGGCTCGCGGATGAAGATTCCAGCGGATCAGAGGTTGACGACGTTGGCTAAGATTTTTACCCGGAACATCGTGAGCATGATACGAATATTAGCATTAATATTTCTGATACCGAAGAAACTCAACCTGTACATCTGGACGCGCCGTCATGGTCATCAGATAAAGATGTTCCGCTCTCAAGTCTGGGTTAATTTAGAAGAAAGAATAAATATACGTGGTACTATACACAATATTACCGGAAATTATTTCCTTTTACACAATTATTTCCCGAGTACACACATCCAATTTGACCGAAAATAATGGAAAGGATCCTTATTTTTTATGTATACAATATATAAATGACCAGATGCTATCCGAGATTTTGCTAAGGACCAACGAGAAGCTAGCTGAATAAAGTTCTAAATATGTATAACAGGATCATCCAAATCTAAAAGATATCAATATAATTAAGTTGCAAGCTTGGTCTATTGATGTACATAGCTGTATTAAAGTCTAACCAAGAAGATGTAGCTTTGGTTAAGAATTCCAAATTCAAATTTATAAATTCATTTAGCTGGTACATTTGAGTTTTGAAAACAGTCATTCATTTGTTTTTTCCTTATAATTTTTTTCTTTGGCGTCGCTTACCGACCGTGCGGTAAGCACAATTGAAAACATGAAATATCGGTATATTTACGAAAACAGCTCGAAGAATTAATGATATGTACGGCGCTGGTTTCGCAAAAGAAAGCACGGTACGTTTTTGGTTTCAACGTTTTTGTTCTAGAAATTTCGACCTTCAGAACCAACCCCGTGGAAGGCCGGAGACCAAGTGGAAAATAAAAAATTAAAGGCTATCGTGGAAGCGGATCCATCACAAAACACTTCAGAGATAGCTGCAGACTTCGGGGTAAGTGATATAACTGTATTAATCCACTTGAAGCAAATCGGGAAAGTAAAAAAACCTGAACGATGAGTACCTCATAAATTGAGTAAATCGAATTTGCGAACACGCATCGACTGCTGTGTTACTTTGCTCAACCGACACAAAAATGAAGGGATTTTAAATCGATGCGTTTGAAAAGTGATGAAAAGTGGATACTGTGTGATAATCGGAAGCGCTCGTCGCAATGGCTGGAGACCCAGCCAATACCTGCCCTAAGTGAAAATTGACTCAGAAAAGTTACTTGTGAGTACGTGGTGGACTAGCGCCGGTGTAGTTCACTATAGCTTTCTAAAATCTGGCCAAACGATTACGGCAGATATCTATTGTCAGCAACTGCAAACCATGAAGGAAGAACTAGCTGCTAAACAACCGAGATTGGTCAATCGCTCTAGGCTACTGCTGCTTCACGATAACGCAAGACCACACACTGTACAACAAACAACCACTAAGTTAGATGAGCTAGAATTGGAATGTCTGCGACATCCACCGTACTCCCCGAACCTTGCTCCAAAAGATTACCATTTTTTTGGGAATTTGGACAACTTCTTACATGGAAAAAAATTCAACTCCGGTGCGGCAGTCCAAACCGCCTTCAAAGAGTTTATTGATTCTCGCCCCCATGGTTTTTTTAGTAAAGCGATCAATGAACTACCTGTGAGATGGCAAAGGGTCATAGATAACAACGGTGCGTACTTTGATTAATTAAATATATTTTACAAAAAAAAATTGACTTTATATTTCTCCCATATAAAACGCCAATTTCATATATAAATTTTCCAATTTCATATATCGTACTTAATGTTTCTCATATAATATATATATATATATATATATATATATATATATATATATATATATATATATATATATATTCATTTATCATGTCAGATAATTGTGATAATTCGCCTCGCTTAGTTTTTTTTATGGATGGAGTTGTGGTAAATAATTTATTATAATGGATATCCGCAAAGTAACGCCTGATTCTATCAATTATGGAGTTGTGGTGTCTGTTGTTGCGCCTCTTGTGGTGTCGCTGATTCATTTTCTACACCATTTTCCGAGCACGGTGTATTAACCGATGATAATCCTTGTTCACTGCAAAAAAATTAATGTATTTGCCTTTTTTCAGGTATCAAATGCAGAAGAATGGAAAATAATCAAAAATGGGTTTAAAACAAGATGGAATTTCCCCTTATGTTACGGTTCCATAAACGGAAAACATGTGTCAATCAATGCTCCTCCTAAAAGTGGAAGTTAATACTTCAATTTAAAAAAAACAACAAGCATCGTATTATTAGCTGTTGCCGATCACGACTACTGTTTTTCATATGTAGATGTTGGCGCATGTGATAGCGCATCTGATGGAGAAGTTTTTAAAAATAGTTCAATTTACCGAGACCTTGATAACTTTTTTATCGGCGGAGTTATAGTTAAGTCAGGCCGCTGTCACTCTTGTTACCTGCGTGAAATAATTACCTAAAATCGCGACGAAACCAGGGTGAACGCAGTCGGGGCTAGCGCGTTGTAGGCGATTGAATGTAAGTTTTTGAACGCTGTTTACGTAGATAATTTTTGTTAATACTTGTTGAAATATTTTTTGTTTAGTGTTTAGTATATTTAATTGTAGGATAAAATAGTTCAAAAGTTTTAATATAATTTAAAATTTACATATATTATGTAATATTAACCATCAAAAAAAATTTGTTAAATTTTAATGGCAAAACGTCGTTCCTACTATAATTGTTGCGTGGATAGACGCTAAATGACCAACAAAATGTTTCAGATATGTCATGCTTTAAGTTACCGAATGATTTTAATAGGAAGTTATGAAGCGTGAATTTATTTAATTTTTATTGTTAGATAGGTACTTATAGCAAAAAAGAATTAAGTAGATATTTAACTAATAACTACGGACTTTTTTACAAAATTTAGTTGAAATTTACTTCACTATCCAAGTATCTACTTACATACCTAAATAATATACTTGTCTTTTCTATTTAAACCATTATATGTTATAATAACACAAAACACTGAAATTAAAACATTGTTTACTAACGAAATTTTTAACTAAGTAGAATACGATTACATTTCTGTTAGGAATCGTATTTCAAGTTTATTTGTTGTTTACACTATCTACATTTTTATGCGGACATGAAGTAACCGAATAACCGATTATCATTACTTTTGGATCACCCCTCGTATTTATTCTGTGGTTAAGTAAAAAAAAAAACATAAGTTTATATGCAATATCACCTACTTATAAAACTAGCCTAGCTTAGCACACATACATACCGCGCTCGGTGCGTGTGTACGAAGAGAACTAACTAACTTCACTTTACTTTTATGGTCGTAATATTGTTGTTGAATGAATGTTGGTTTAAAATAAACAATAAACGATCTTACTTACTGTTGTTTTTCTTTTCACGGTAACAGGCTTCACAAATGAATCATGTTATTCAAACTATATTACTGTTACGAGCTTGAGGTTCGTGACAATAAAAACTGCCGATTGGATTACCAAAATTAACTCTTTAATTCATTTTACACTAATTAAAACTTAGAACACTAATAATTAACCACACTGATTCACTTTATTTCGCTCCGAAGCTTCGCTTGTCTCGCCAAATTCAATACTTCCCCGATCGCATCTTGCAGCGCCTATAAATACACATTATCACCGAAACATCCAGAATATTCAAATAAATACGCGCACCAATCGATAAGGCGCCGAAAGTTCGAGTGTCGGCTTCTAGAAGCTTAGTTCTTCGTTTCGATACTAGATGGCGCTGTCGGTTGAAATATTAGTGATGTCATTTTCTGGAAAGCTCCCCTCGCTCTCGTCCCCGACACTAGATGGCGCTAGTGCCGGGTACATGACGTCTACTTAGGCGCGCAACATTACCTTTGGCTTATAAACGACCCCCGGCACCAGATATTGTAATTTTTTCGATTTTGTCAAAATCAGTCGAAGTCAGATATTATAAACTTTTATAATTCTACGAAAGGTGGTGTAGATGAAATAGATAGGAAGCGCTTTGTGTATACTTGCAGCCGCCGATCAATATGCTGGCCTATGACAATTTTTTACTGGATTTTGGATATTAGTTCCATAAATTCTTATCTTTTATATATACATGTGGAAAGAAACAAACTGATAGAAGAATATAAAAGAAACAGAATATAAAAAAAATTGCTCGACAGTTAGTATCAGAGCACATGAAGCGAAGATTTTGTAACCTAAAGTTTCCCATGTACTTAGGACGAGTTTGGCAAGAGTACTTGGTTCTGATTAGCCAGAGACGAGAGATGAAGCTGAGGAAGTCAAGACACGAAAGACTTTTCTCTTATGTCAACCTAAGCTGAAAATAAAATCGACGATGCTAATCGTGCAAAAAACACGTTTGCCTTGACTGGAATTTAAGGTGTAATTGGACTGAGGTTATTTTTTTCCTAAAGGTTTATGCTCCTAGTTAATTTTTTTTTCTAAAAGTTATATTAGTCGTAAGTACGAAATACAATTTTTTGTTACTCTGAGAGGAGTATTCTTTGCGTTTTGATTTTTTATATCTAATAAACGGATCGGATTTTTCCACAAAATTCAAGCCAAATCTTGTAGTTATATTTAAAAATTTAATAAAGTTGATTCCCTTTTTACACTTATTTTTTTAAAACCCTATATTTTTCATCATAATACAAAGACAGATATTAAAATCATCAATTTCTTTAAAAAACACTACTTAATATACGCGGTCTCTCAAACCTCACGTCGGTACTAACGTTATAAAAAATGCACTTCGGTACTTAAAGGTTAAAAAAACTTAAGTTTAAATTACAACTTTCAATGTCAGCTCACCTGTACGGCCACGGTCATCCGATGTGCACTATAATGCCGTTTCCTAAATTCGTGAGCAGCTCGATGTAGTTTCTCGTCATCCTGCAAGTCGTCCTTCAAGCTACGTAGGTTGCCCCAGGTAAATGTGCGCGCAGGATGACCTTCAGGAAATAAGCTTGATAAAAGTTGGTCTTTGCGGTTAGAATCTGACGGTGACGCAATCGCAAACTCTGTAAAGGATAAAAAATTAACATAATCAATAACATAGAGAATAGTGTATAGCTTAAGAATATCTAAAGGATAGAGCAACACAGCCATACGCAGGCGTTCCCTTTTGTCAAAGTATAAGTTCACGCGGTCCTTTGCGTAGAATAAAACTAGTTACAGCTGCACCGCTCACAAGACTAAATGAAGTTGTGCAGCTGAATCGACGTCTTACAAAATGCAGAATTTTTCAGTTTGTTTTTTGCTGCTAAAAGTCTGTCATGTCAAATTTAAAAAAATGGCATTACCTTTCGCATATGTTAGTATTTTTAATCACATTGTTAATAAAAGACGCGGCAAGTAACTCTAGCACTGAACGAAACGTGGAGGCGTGAATGTCGTATCAGTACGCGGGACGGAATGCTACTGGATAGCCAATCAGCGCGTGCGAAAGGCAGGCAAATCAGGCAAACAGTCAATCACGCTCAATAATGTGCAATACGTCCAATTATGCGCAATAACGGTCACCGCTAGACTTTCGTTCCGCGAGTTATACTTACTTCATTTTGAACATAAAAATTATAATAACAGCGTTCGTGTTATTTCGGATTTGTTTACCAACACAGGCCGTACACCCACCCACATACAATATGCAGATTGATCGATCGACTGGGCCGAGTCTATATCTGAATTATCGCTCTCAACGAGTGATAGTTTTATAATGTATCTTATGTGTGTGTGGGGTGTGTGTGTGTGTGTGTGTGTGTGTGTGTGTGTGTGTGTGTGTGTGTCTGTGTGTGAACTTATTAGTTTATTGGTTTAATTGTTATGTGTGAGTTTCATAATGACAGACAATTGTTTTTGCAAAAAATGACAGATTGTTCTGTATCGGGAAAAAACGCTATAACTACTCCTCTCCGGTCCGCCGGTGACCCGTATTGCTCTAAGATCAATAGAAGAGGGGGCAAACGAGCATGTGGCTCACCTGATGTTAAGTGACTACCGCCGCCCATGATCAACCGCAACACCAGGGGAATTGCAGGTGCGTTGGCCGGCCCTTTAGAAAGGAGTAAGCTCTTTTCTTGAAGGTCCCCAGGTCGTATCGGTCCGGAAAAATTGCCGGTGGTAAATTATTCCACAGAGAGGTTGTACGCGGTAGAAAACTCCTTTTGAAACGTACAGTGGTGGACCGCCAAGCATCCAGATGGTGTGGATGGTATCGGGACGTTTGCCGTGTAGTGCGTTCACAAAATTTGGCGGCTGGGATTAATCCGAACAATTCCTCAGAGCACTCCCCGTGATAGATGCGATAAAATACGCAAAGAGATGCAACATCTCTTCGCAGCGCCAGTGAATCAAGGAAAGCACTCGGTCGTCGACGGTTCGAGCCGCTCTGCGCTGGATGCGGTCAAGTGGAAGGAGCTGGTACTGGGGAGCCCCAGCCCAGAGATGGGAACAGTATTCCATGTGCGGTCGAACCTGCGCCTTGTAAAGTTGCAGGCGGTGTGCCGGCATGAAATACTGTCCCGCTCTGCTGAGCACGCCAAGCTTTTTAGAGGCCAATTTGGCCTTCCCTTCCAAGTGACCACGAAACTGCACGTCACTCGATATGTCGACGCCGAGGATTCCGATACTGGCTGAGGCAACAAGGGGAGTGCCTTGAAACTAAGGGGATACGACAAAGGGGTTTTTTTTCTTTTAGCGGTTAATGCGCAAAGTTGTGTCTTCTGGGGGTTAAACTGGACTAGATTTAGTCGCCCCCAATCCGAGACTCTGTCCAGCAGAGACTCGACTTCAGACACAAGTTTGTCCCGGCACTCAGAGACGTTTTCCCGAGAAATATTGGCTCGGCCGGTGTAAAGAGCATCACCAGTGCTGTCATCTGCATAGCAATGAATGCTACGGGTTTGCAACATATCATTGATATGCAGAAGAAACGGCGTTGGCGATAGCACGCAGCCCTGTGGAACACCAGCATTAATAGGCTTGCAATCGGAGCTTGCACCGTCTACAACGACCTTGATGCTCCGATCTGCAAGAAAACTGGTGATCCAATCGCACAATTTCTCGGGAAGCCCATAGGAAGGGAGCTTCGAAAGTAGCGCTTTGTGCCAAACCCGATCGAAGGCCTTCGCTATATCCAAACTAACGGCCAATGCCTCCCCCTTGGACTCTACTGCCTCCGCCCATCTGTGAGTTAGGTAGACCAGAAGATCACCAGCTGACCTACCACGGCGAAAACCGTATTGGCGGTCACTAATCAGCTGGTGATCCTCAAGGTACCTTATGAGCTGGCAGTTTACAATGGACTCCATTGTTTTGGAGAACAAGGAGGTGATGGCGATAGGCCGGTAGTTGGACGAGTCTGAGCGGTCGCCTTTTTTAGGGATCGGGTGGACGAAAGCCGTCTTCCATGATTTTGGGACTACGCCTAGGGAGTAGGAGTACCGGAAAAGACGCGTTAAAACCGGTGCCAACTCTGGAGCACACGTCCTCAGCACAATTGGGGGGATTCCGTCAGGCCCACTCGACTTGTGGATGTCCAGGGAGAGGAGTGCTTTGCGAACCGAGCGCTGAGTGAACTACACTTCCGGCATGGAGCACCCACACCGCGGGATGGTCGGCGGCGTACTCCCCCCGTCATCGAGAGTCGAGTTAGACGCAAAGAAAGAATGGTTCTAAATGGTTCGATCTTAGATATTCTTAAACTATAGTCTAGTATATTCAATTACATTGATTTATAACCCTTATTCACCCTTATCAAATAGGTGATCGCTACTAAACTGTTACTACAATGATATGTATGAAAAATTGTAGAACATACGAGTAATTATGTAAACTGTTTAAAAAATGCTTCACTGGGATTCTTGCTGGTACTACCCTCGGTACCTACCCAGGAAGAGGAATTATTTTTTATGAACCTATATTGAACAAAAATCTATCCTATTACAACCTACTACTCAACCTTTAGGGACACTTACCATTTTCTAATCAAAATTCCACAAAAAAAGCAAAGCCATCTACTTTACAGACCGTCTTACTCGCACTCTAATCCAAATCACTGTAAACTTTTAGCGTGTAAGTAATCCAAATAAGTGTTAGAAGACTATTCATTAGGGGGCTAACGACACTACCTGAGGTTATAAATATGAAATTTGGTCTTGATAACTTCATTACTTCTTATGTAACCTTCAGTCATAGGCAACGGAAATGACTGACTCGACAATGTTGAAAAAAATCGAACACCATGTGGTGATTAAATTCCTCACAATAAACAAAACATATATAAAGAAATGGTGGCCGTTTTTCAAGACTCTGCTCCATCAATGTCAACGATACAGAAGTGGTCAAGTAAATTTAAGAATCAGGGAAAGCATCGAAGATGACCTCGCCCGGGTGGGCCAATCACAGCGGCTACAGACGAAAACGTGAAAATTATTAAAAAACTTGTATTAGAAGAGGCACGAGTAAGAATTAAGATGTTAGCAGAAATAACTAACTTATCCGTTGGTACCATTACTCACCATATTGCATGACTATCTCAACCTCACAAGAGTCAGTGCAAGATGGGTGCTGCGACTATTGTAGGGACTAGGGAGTTACAGGAGATGAAATGTGGGTTCACTACTATGACCCTGAGAGCAAAAAAGAAGTCTATACAATCGAATAAAAAAGGGATCAGCCCCCCCCCCCAGAAATTCTAAGTTACTCTAGGGTAAATTATGGAAGTTTTTGGGGGTCTTGAAGGTGAAGGAAAGCAATAAAAGAAAATAGAAGAGGAAAGCTGACCAAGGGAGTGTTGCTTCTTCATGACAACGCACTCCACGGCTGCTGTACGAAACTACGGGTTTAAGGAAATTAACCACCCACCTTACAACCTGCAGATCTAGCCCCTAGTGACTACCCTTTATTCCAAAACTTAAAAAAGACCTTGGGAAAAGCGATTTGCTAACGATAATGAGTTCAAGTCCGCTTTAAATGAACATTTTTCAGACCAAAACGAAGAATATTTTTTCAAAGGAATAGAAAAGCTTTTTTACGAACAAGTAAATGTATTGATATTGTGGGGCCACACCCCAACGTTGTATTCAAATGTGGGACCGATGTGGAGACCACACCCAATGTTGTGTTCGAATACGTTATATTGTAAATAAACGAATACTAATGAAGGGCAGGAATAAGAATTAACTGACTCGAATGAAGTAATGTTATTTCCATGTAACAAACAACTTTTACTACAAACAATTTACAAGATGAAATTAACTACGAGAACAATGTAAGTTAATTGATATAAGTAGCGCGTCGCGTCCTGTTACCATGCCTGTTGCAGGCGGAATGAACGTCGCACATTCTCGCGTTCCGTTGAAGGCGCGGTGTCTTATCTTATCGATGATTTGCATTGTTCCCTGGTAGTGACGTGATATAAGCGTGTGACTTAATCTTCATGTGCGTAGCGTATTTGCGTAGGTCTAAGTGAAGCGAGTTAAGCTACAATATCATGGGATACTATTGAGAAATAAAAAAATATTTCATAATTTTATCTTTTTTCTAACATACCCATACCGAGAATATATCGAACGCCCCTCGTATGACCAACAAGCTTATGAAAACTATCCATGTGATCCATGCTCAAATGAGGTACTTCCCTCCCAAATGCATTTTGCAGAAGAGTAGTACAATCTTGGGGAGAGCGAATTTTTAATCATAAAAAATTATCACCCTATAATGTTTTTGCGTTAATTCCATATTTATTATGGACAATTTTACTACTTCAACTTGTGAATTAAAAACAATTAACACGCGAATTCTCACCAAAAATTAATTAAATCAATATATGTTGGTAATGTTTTGAAAAATATAACATTTGTAGTTTAAACATTTATGAGCGGCAAGTAGCACAGAACTTTCAGTGTTCCCTTTGTATAAACAGAATTTTGTATGGGCAATATTTCGAACACACCATGCCGATCCTTAGAGATTCTGATTATAATGTGTAAAATAACAAAAATGAGAACATTTCGTCACG